AGGTGACTTTAGGAACTTAACTCATTGGAAATGTCTTTAGGGCTGCTTGAAAAGGGAAAGAGAGTCTCTAACATCTAAGACATGGACAGTACATGAGGAACTAAAATTTTGGGTTTTCATGTCCCCTGAATCAGCATAATTTTCAGTTAAATACTTCAATGTAGGTCAAATATCTGCTGAATATCTGCTGAATATCTGTTCTTACCAGGATGATATTAGGTGTTGAAAATAATATGAAATATCTCCCCTAAAACATGTATCAAGCTAATAGGGATGGCAAAAATACAAAAATATAATACAAGGAAATAAATGCTATACATTTATAGTGGTAGAAACACACAAGGATAAATTAGCCATGAAGAGGGGTCCTGGGAAAAAATCCAGGAAATTTTCTTCTTAGCTCCCACCATCATCTCTTCCTCTCCTACTCTTCCACTTCAGTTTTAAAAATCACTATAGAGATTGTGCTCTGCCAATGATTCAGATGGAAGGGAGGTGTCTGGGCAATCTTCTTCTGTGAAATGGAGTAGGCCCTCAGCTGAGCTTTCATCTTAGGGAAATTTTGACTCAGACAGTGCAGGCATGTCACTGAAGAGCAGGAAAGGTATGTTTAGAGCGATGCTCTCGTCTCTGCTCATCGATGCTTCTGGCAGGAGAAGTTGGCCATAGTGAAAGGGAGCCCCTTCACCAGAGTTCTCTTTTTGTTTTGTGTAATCTGAGAAACACCTTTACTTCAAGTGTAATCATGAGTTCAAATCCCCGATTCCCCAGGCAACTAATATAGTTCACTTTGAGGTCTCATTGGTCTTTATTACTAGAGCCTGTGGAAGAACTTTAGACACTAGCAACAGGGGATAGGATGGGGTGGGGAGCATTTTCTGAAGGAGAAGGGTATGTTCTTGCCATCCCCACTGTCACATCCAGGATGTATGTTGCAAAGTCTAGCATTGCCTAAACATAACCTTTGCTGTGCACTTGTCATGTAGTGGATATTTAAGACATATTTATTGAATGTTGACTGAAAGCATAGATTACAAATGGAGAGATACAATAAGTATCGCTGGATTTTTTGCTAGATTCGGGATCAGGCTGGTCAGATCTGCCTTTTATGATTAGCTGATGGTGATTCCAGCCTGTAATACTACAGTCTGTTATTCAAGTTATAATTACCTTGACTAGAGTGATTCATCATTTTAAACAAAGGAAAGGAAAGCAATGAATTTAGTTTAACACCTGGAAGCCTTGGAATGCTGCAGAAGAAATACGTTCCAAATTAGAATATTGTTAAAAGAACACAGAGGAAATATGGTGAACCTAAAATGTAGCTCTTATGGTAACAAGAGTGATTTTCAGACTGAAAGGGAAAAGCTATATATGTCTTAGAGATGCATAAAGCCTAAGATAGATGAGGAACTGGAAAGACTGCCTAGTTCTAAGTAAGTTCATATTTTTCTGGTCTAGATAAATTGTGTCTGAAAACAGATGAAATTTCTACTTCTACTGCAAGACTATTATAAATGATGGGAAATACGAGATTTACCAGGAAAAAAGGCAAGCCATATGTTCCATTTTTCAAAAAAATGGAAGATAATTTCTGAAAATGATAGCCTATATTCTTAGTTTGTGAATGTTTACAAAAACAGTTATAACTGGAAGTCAGACATTTTCTGCAGGCAATAGACATTTATTTATTGAATGCCTTCCAAGTTCTAGCTTTTGTGATATCTTTCACTATATCATGAACAAAAAGAGATATGCAAGTGTAATGATGTGTTTCTGTGAACTCACATTTGTTATAAGAGTTCAATCCAAAGCCTCCTCAAGGTCACTTTCTACTCTATCACCTTATTTCAAATTTCTGCACATTTATTTGTCTCTCTGACTTTTCCTTTGGTTTCTTATTTGTTTATAGTTTGTCTCCATTCATTAGGATGTAAGCTCTAGAGAGTAAAGGCTTTGTATGTTTTGTTCACTGTACTCATAGCAATGCATGTCACAAAGTACATACTCAAAAACATTTTGTTGAACGAATTCATGAATTAAACTGCTATATCTATATAGATTCATAGGATTGATCGGTGGCAGAATCCAGTAGACAAGAGCTTCCTATCCTTGATATATTACTTGAATGTAAATACAAATGGCATGCCTAACAAAGCGGTTCATGAAATAATATAAAAATTTTCTTTTTCATAGTTTACAATGACAGATCAAATCTAGTCAGATAAAATTGGATAGAGATAATACTTAAAGCACTATTTTTGGATCTGGAGAAGAACATACCTACAGAATGGAATTTAATTTCAACAAATATTTAAAAAAATAAAAGGATGAGGGATTTTAGGTGATAGCATGCTCAGTATGATCCAACATGATAATATGAAATAACTCCAACTTCACTCTCCTGTATACTCTAAACTCACCACAAAAACAAGGAAACAATTCCAATTATTATAATCTTCCTTGTATTAGTTGACTTTAATGTCAAATCCTGGAGGTGGTGATTATATTCTGCTTTATGTTAAAAATACATCTAGTTAAACACATTCTTTTTAAAAATTTAAAGAAATATCCACAGAGCGAAATGATGAGAATAGTGACATTCCTCAGTTAAGGGTTGGTAAGGAGAGGTCCTTAGAAACAGCAGTACAACCATCATGCTGAAGAGAGCTCTTAGAATGCGCATGACTCCAAGGGGCAGGGAACTGGGGACAATGGAGTAGTTGTACTGTATTTTGGCTCAATATAATGGAAGAATTTTGCACCAATTCTAACAATTATGCTAAATGTGTTGCCTTGGGAGGTAGGCAGGTGTTTATGTGGTGGCAGAACAGAGAGCCAGAGAGATTTATGTCTTAGATAAGGGATTAAACCAAATGACCTTCAATATCGCTTCTGATTCTAAGATTCTATGGCATGATGTGTGCATTAACGAGACACCTCTCTGTACAGGTTTCTCCAGCTATAGTCTTTTTTTTAAGAATTTTTTTTAAAAAAAATATATCTTTATTGATTTCAGAGAGAGGAAAGGAGAGAGAGAGAGGGAAAGAGAGAGATAGAAACATCAGTGATGAGAGAGTCTTTGATCGGCTGCCTTCTGCACGCCCCTGACTGGGGATCGAGCCCCCAACCCGGGCATGTGTCCTGATGGGAAATTGAACCCCGATCCCCTGGATCCTAGGTTGATGCTCAACCACTGAGCCACACCCAGCCGGGCTCCAGCTATAGTCTTTAGAGCAGATGAAGACAGGAGGACAAACATAAATGATTATGCTTCCTGAAATGCTAGGCAAGGGAATAGGGTAGGTAGGTGCCCTGTTGTTGAGCTGGAATGCTTGCATCCGGATCCCAGCTATGGCTTCCAAGATAGTGACCTTAGATAAGCCGTTTAACATCACTGCACTTTAGTTTCCATATATCAAATGGATAGAATATAGAATCTACCTAACAGGCTTGCTGTAATAATGAAATGAGATAATACACAAAAAGCTTTTTGAATGGTGTCTTGCTCATAGTGATCGTTAGCTATTATTATTGCAACTATTATTACGGTTAAATATCTGTAAAACCATCATGGAGTATTAGTGGATATATTTTATTCTGTATTATTTGTTTTTAGATATTTATTGGGAGAATATATTATCTTATAGAGAAAGTATGGTTATGGGATCCAGGCAAGCCTGGCTGTCAAACCTGTTTCTACTCTTTATGAGCTGTTCAATCTTAGGTTAGACTACACCTGACCTCACCCTGTCTCCTCTTCCTAATGACTCTGTAATTATAGGGCTTCTGAAAAATTAAATGAGGCAATGTATATAATTTTTCCAGTAATAAATGTCAGCTCTTATTCCCCATGAAGAGATGACATTTCATTTTTTCTTTATCCAAATATGTATTGTCTGGAGACCATAGCAGTGCAAGATGATTATAGAGACTTAGGGCTTGAAAGGGACCTGAGACTTCTGCCAGGTCCAGAATATTGATTTTCTCTTACCGTCATTGTACGAGTTTAATGAAAGTTACTTCAGTTATACCTGTAAAACTCAAGGGATGTTTTTTCGTTTGATTGCCCTGTCTTCTTCTGTAGACCCTTTATTCAGCTCGGAGCTGTGTGCAGATTCCCCCTGACTCTGAGCCCCTGCGGAAGCCGCCTGAGACGGGCTTCTGAAGTGACAGGAGCCTTGAATTTAGTTAAGCAGCTTGGGACAAAGAGCAGTATCAAAGCCGGGCTTTTGATTATGCATATTATCCCGATTTCTACAACTTCCTCACGCTCAGCTTTCTCCCCCAAATACTACATAAAATGGAACTATATTGCTCTGAGTTGTACTTAAAACTCAGGAATTTTATCATTTGGTTCATTAACGTTACTATATTAGAAAGTACAGGAGATGGTGAGGTTTAAAAAGTAAATTTAAGATCAAGAGCTTTCTAGTTCTTCCGTTTTGGAGTTAAATTGAAAAATTACTTCTATTCAGAATATGCTGCTTATAAAAATGCTACTAAATTTTATGTATTCTGATCTTAGTTTTTATGAATGATGTAAGAGTGTATCAAGAGTTCAATATAATTTATTGGCATAATGTTTATTAATTATGGCACTACAGAAAAGAAACTCTTTCCTTCGAGAGTAAAAAACAAAACAAGATAACCCTCAAATGTAAAGAATAGTACAGTACTCCTACGAGGAAATACTGCTGATGAGAAATTTATATATAACTTTCTGGAGATTGATACTTTCAAGTTCTGAAGCTATATATCATGTCATTGCCTATAATTCCCCAGGCTGCTATTTTACCACTGATAGTTCTTTGCTTCTCATTCTAATGAAATATTAACATGGGGAGCTAACTTTTTTCTGTCAAAAACGCCTTGTTCAAGCATAATAACTGTTTTCTCCGTTTCATAACTTGTCATTTAACCTGGTAGAACTAGTCTAAGTTACCACATATTCTTCCCTCTTTTCATCTCCACTCTTGCTTTCTGGTTGCCCACTCTAGCAGTACAAGACCAGTTCAAGCTACAAGGCTTTTGCAGCAATCCCTACCAACACATTGCTTCTGGAACAGAAGGTCAGTGTGGGCTCAAAAGCAGAGTGAATTTTATGTTTCTAATGTCATTTTTGTTATGTTTTCTAAAGTGTCTGTTTTCAAGGTCTGTCTTTACTAAAATAAAATTCTACTCTCAGTTTTGGGTGATGTGATGAAAACATCTTGGTAAATAAAATGGAAGACATTGTCGATTTATCACTAGAGGCTAGATATGAACCTAGAGTATCCAGTCCCATGTCAGTTAGCCCTGGAAAAGTTAGTTTCGATTTGGCTAGATCCCTGTCCTTTGGAATTTTAGGTGATTGTTATATTCAAAGAGCTTCCGCCTCTATTCGCATTGATCAAAAGAGTAGAGGTAAAATGGGGTTACATGTGGAACTAGCCACCTTAGTCAAAACTTGGTGACTCACAGTGGCTTCCACAGTGTAGAAACATGTTAGCTGAGTATCTAGCTTAGCTCCTCAGATCCCATCAGGGGCTAAACCTCCATTCCTGCTGGCTACTGATCCTACCTCCATAAATGAGAGGGAGGACTGAGATCACTTCCAATGACCCATGCTTTTGCATGGCTCCAGAGCATTTTTGCTTTGCTATTAAGAGCCATTAATTATAAAATTATAGGATTCTGCTTCAGTAGGTAAATTAAGTTAGAGTCTCTTGTTCAAAAGCACATTACAGATGCTCAAATGAAGGCCAAATGGAGGATCATATCAGAATCAAAGTGAATCAATTACCAAATCTATGAAATTATTCATTTCATATGTTATTTTTATGATATTTATTTGGGCAATTTATCTTTTTGTGCATTAAACCCATCCCCTCCACCTCTCTGGTGTAATTAGTGCTTCAAATACTGTTACTATCATTTGTCAAATGTGAATGTTTGCCAACCAGGTGGTATTTTGACCACTGGTTTATGAATCTACATTCTTGTTATTTTAGTATAATCTGGGGATTAAACCTTTATATGATCTCTTGTCTAAAAAGTAGGAATTGTTAGTGGGAAATGCTAAGTAGTATGTAGGTGAACATTAGTGGGAAGCCTTTCTTATATTGTATATCTCTGATAACTAATTCTAAATTATCTACATGTAGTCAAGAATCTATGCTCTGTGTATCTACATGCTTTGAACTGGGGCTTGGGAGGTGTCACTGGGCTGCAGAGAGACTGGAAGCTTTTTCTCTAGCTTCTCTTCTAAATTTCTACCTTTTATAACTCATTAAAAGAGGAGCCTAAAACTGATTTCAGGAGGCTTCAGAAGGATGCAAGGAGTGCACCAGTTGTCCCTTATTCTAATTGCCAGTTATTATGTTGAGTCCTAGTAGCAGCGTTTCCTCACCACAGACCCTCTGCCCATTTCACATGGACATTTCTGAAATCTGGTCATTAGTGTCTGCCTTCACAGAGGGGGAGATACTCTCCCCCAAAGCAGCCAGGCAAGGAGGAGAATAGGGGCCTATTGTGTCATGGTGTCCTTGCATCTCACCCGTCTCACCTAACCTGGCGTATTCTCCTGCACCTGTGTACTTCTACTATATTAGCTCTTTATTTAGAAAGGTAACAGTTAATTCTTCTTGAAAGATTTTTGTAAGATAAAGCTGGATATCATTATTGGTTCCAGAATTTCTGTCTACCAGCTCTCTTCTCTTCTAATTAAATGGGTTTTAGAAATTTTAATCTATTCATCATTAAAAATGAGAACCATTAATTTAATTTCCAATTTCATTACAAACCCATTTCATCAATGTTTATGGTGGTATCACTGTACATTTAATCTAATGATAACTTCATATGGGAAAGGTTTTACGTTTTCAATTTTGAATAAACATGCTTTTTAGAAAAATTCTTCTTTTTATTTTTAGTATACCAAAATGCAAATATCATGACGCCTAATTTAAAATGTTATTCCAGGGAGGACTGATTATTATACAAGCAGTAATGTGGGTTATTTTCTCTTGGTTAAGATAAATTGTTTTGGGACCATAAATATTTGAATTACTCAAAGATTTCACAATATGACTTGATGTTTGTTTTTTTTAGAGCCTTTGTATAATTCCACATATTTTTTGCTGGCTTTCCCATGGTATGTGTTCCTCAAGAAGAAACTTTACTTTGTAAGACTTTTTAAATAACAAAAGCCCTATCCCAAGATTTTATGCGAGTTTATTTCGATTTTCATTAATATTTCTTGAATAATATTATGCTGCTCTTTTAATGGTTATGCCAGCAGTTTTCAACTGGCGTGTCATGACAGGCACACAGGTGTGCTGCAAGAATGTTTAAAACATGCAATACCTGACTATTTAGTCAGGAGCACTGACCTCTTTTTCCTTAGATTGTCAAATAAAAAAATGACAACAGCCAACACAGCAAAAGCCATCTGGTGTGAATGAATCAAAATTATACCTATTTTTTTGTCAGATCAGCAAAAAATATAATATTTTTGGTGTGCCTCAGAATTTTAGTAATTAGTTTATGTGTGCCATGAGATGAAAAGTTTGAAAATTGCTGGTTTATACAATGAAACATATGCTGTTTCAATCACAGGAATTTATTTCTGAATTGAGTGGGAAAATTAAGACTGTAATAATCAGAAACTCACCTATTTTGGAAAGCATTAACATTTTGGAATATTTTAAATCACAGAAACTTTTTTGAGTTCCCTTCAGTATCACACAGAACATCAAGCACTGGAGTTTCATTATAATACTCTGTTAGCGTCTATGCTGTAGAATGCCTTGAAGATAGAACTAACATTTAATTCAAATCTTAGTTCAACAATTAATTCTCTCACCCAGTCAGATTAAACCCATGGTTGACATTTTAGACAACATTCTGTTTTATAGCATATAGTATAATTAGTCAGGAACTTAAAACTAATACTATTTTTAAAAGCAAGATTTTCTTCAAATTCAATACAGGTGTCCCTTGCAATGAGACATTAAGCCATCATTGAATCACTGGGCTGGTTTCAGATTTAATCATCCCTAGATGAAGCACATAATTTTCAAAAGAGTACATTTTGTTGGCAAGGAATATGAGGTTTCTGGTACTTCTGTTCTATAATTTATTTTCTGCATCAAAACTGAAATTTATAGCTCATTCAGTCTTCTATCTTTTTTCCCTATGTACATTTAGGAGGGAAGCATTTTTAGCCTAATTCTTAACAAGGGCTTTATAGGAAGAGGTAATGTAAGTGTCGTCTTTTAACATGTTTGCTTCAGGGCCTTTGGCTTAATCTGCTGCCAATAATCATCCCCCAGATTGAAGTGAGGATGAAGCACAAGTGATTATAAAGCAGGAACAAAGTCACCAGGCTACTTTGCATTTGTGCCTGTCCACCAACCTCATTACTATAATTTCAACCATATGCTGAGCTCTGTGGAGAAAATAATTTTGATAGGAACATTATTTTTTAGTCTCTATGTGTCTACTATTCTTTTCAGAGAATGTTAAATGTGTTTCTTGTATTGACTAAGTTTTCTTTCTATCGTCTGAGTCTGATAGTAATGGATAAAAAGTTAAAATTAAACTGAAGAGCACATATTATTCTAAATACATGGATTATTATTTTTATTGTGCACTTGTGTTAAGGAAAGAAAAGATGAAGGTGGGAATATTTTCATGAAATCACATAATATGCATCTTTATTGTCTCTCAAGTAATTAATGTTTTCCATAATAATATAAATTTTCTTCTTGAAAATAATTTGAATTCATTGTTCTTTTTCTTACAAGTATTCCTCAGTATAAAATCAAGGCTATGATTACTACTATCTTCCAACAAAGGCATTATTATCCGACAAGTGGCATTATAAAGATAGATTTAATTCATAAACTACGTATGTTTGAAAAAGAATTCTAGAGGAGCTCAATTTTATAAATAGCATATATAAATTGCAGGATTAATTATTTAAACAAAAGTTCTGGGATAAAAATTATTAATATTTTTTCAGTGGGAGGAAGGTAAAGAATAACTATTTTGAAGACTGCTAAAAAAAAATTAGAAACTTAAAGATTTGAGATCTCATCAGCTGTCAAATCAATTTATTCTAAGTTGCCAGTTTAATTTTTGAAGACATGAGTTGGTAAACTCCAATCTGATTAAACATATGTCTTTGGGTGAGACTATTTTAAGATCTCTGCAAGTCTGAAAAATTTAACAAAATCTGGTTGCTAACTTAGCATATGGCCCATACTAGAGAGATGTCTCTTAATTTAGATTAGTATAAATAGTGAATGTGTCCCCAATTTCTTTAGCAATGGAGAAGTGCCAGGACCCAAATCTATACTAATTGGTTCTCCTCAGGTGGTTGTCTACTGTGCACATATCTCTATTAAAACACTTAGCAAAACATATTTAATTATGCATATTGGTTGTTTTATTTTTTACCATGTACTATTTGAGAGAATATAGTAGAATTTTGCTAAATACTTATTGAATAAATTAATTTAGTTTATAGTTGGGTATGTCTCTAAAATTTCCAATTTTACTCCATGGGATTTTTAAGACAAATTTTTGTTTCAGAGGATTATAAAAATAAAGGGGTCTAGTGTATGACAGTTGGGGTGATGACAATTAAGAACCTTCCTTTAGGGTCGAATGAGCCTCATCAATTCTGCTTCCATGGAAAAGATATAAGGGACCTTCTGCTACAAAGGAAGTAAATTGGTTTTAGACTTGGCACCTTTTAAAAATTAGAGAATAAGGGCTCGATGGCTACCATATAGACTGCTGTAGTGTATCAGACACTGAGCTGAAGGCTTTACTGTCCTCCCAGCTCTGTGAAGGTTTTGATGATCACAGATGCCACGTAGATGCCCCAAAACAGCAGGGCTGGTATGTGGCTGAGTTGGGTCCAAGTGGGATCTGATTACCCCCTAGCCGCTCCCGGCTCCTCACACGCCGGGGGGCACCAGCTAGCTAAAGTGAAGGACTGAGGAAGAGACAATGATTTTGGATCCCTGTCTATTACACTTTTTTCATTACCTGCTAAAATATATTTAAATTCAAATTAAATTAGAACAACAAAAGCATGCTTTTAAATGAAGAACAATGAAAGGAAATTGGAAATGATTTAGCTCTGAGAAGACTTTCCTGAATAAGGAATTACAAAACCAGCCCCATTCCTTGAGCTACTGAAAGAGATGAGGTGAATGACAGAGGAGGAGCTGCTGACTGGAAATAAGAACCCCCTTCTCATACCCTCGATTAAATGAAGGAGAAGTATGGGTCTTTCTGCCCCTGAGCCTTGATGGGTGGATTCGGAACTGTCTGAAACGGTTAGCAAAACTCCCTTTTCTCCTGTGTAGGGAGAACACACATTTAACTCTCCAAAGGCTTTGGGATCAAGACCACCAAGCAGATTTCCCTAGTTCTTAATATTTTTAAACCAATCATAAGACAACAGTCTAATGATAAATATTCCTGGATCTTTAAAGAAGCTGTGCTTTTATATATCTGGAAGCCCCTTTGGTTTACAGTGCCCCCTTTTCTTCAGATTCGAATGCTATTCAGATCTGAATTGCCAACTAGATAACCTAAGTGAGAGTTATTTTCTAAGAATATCTTCAATCCTATAAATGGTTTTGTATTAATGACTAAAAAAGAGTAAAGCTTTTATAGCCCTCATAGGGTTTATTTCACCAAATGTCTGGCAATGTATAAGGGCATTTAGGTTTATCCTGAATCATTGTTTGGGGGGAGGGGGGTTGACTTGATCTTTACTAAAATATAGTAACTCACCCATGAACTTTTTGAAATCCAATCCAATTAGATAGCCTAGGCATCACAAAAAGTTTACAAACCCCTTTAGATTATTCTTCCTTTGAAAGCAGTTAAATTTCTAACTCTACTTAGAGTGCAACTACAGCATTTTATCTTTAGATAATTTTTAGACCTTAATCCTATTTCCAAAGTGAGTACATTAGACTGATTTAATATATCTGATGAAAAATTGTTTGCAATTCCATCAGAGATATTCCCTTTGCTGGGGGAACACCTATTACAGTTTATTGGCATGTACTCCCATAAGGACTTGGATTTACAATGCTTGCTTGTAATACTTAGCTATTAAATATAATGTAGTATTGAGCTCAAAAACTATTTTCTTTTAAACATCAGACTTACTATATTTCTTTTCAAAAATGAGGACCCAAAGATGGCCATTCCAAGCAAAATAGCACTACTTTTAATGAGAATATTTCTGATAACTTATATTAGTTAAGAATCTTTGAAAATAGAATTCATAGCATGTCCCAATTATGACTCACTTGGCCATAGTCCAATTTGATAGAAAAAAATATGTTTTAATAAAAATCTTTTATTGGAGAATATTCGGAAAGAACGTCACTCAAAATTAATAAATATAAAGAAACATTGATACGGTCCTGCTGGCTAAGTTGTGAAAAAGCAATCTACAGTCATATTTCCAGTTAATAGAGATTTAATATATTTTATTTTAATAACATTTTTGTACTTCAGAGAAACTACATTTTATGGCTGCCAGAAGGAGTGGATCAAGATGATACATTTGAAAACTTCTCATCAATAAAAAATCAATTTTAGTAAATTTCAAGGCTATTTAAGCTCAAAATAACCCCATTCCAAATTCTACTGCAGTCTTAGTATTGTCCCCATTTCAAAGTTTCAGCACATTAATGACCTACCACTAGTTATCTTCCTTAATTTTCAAATCGTTCTGAATAGTTTTAATTTTTTTTTTCTTTGAGTAAATTTCAGTATTTTAAATAGCCTAATGAGAGTTGTGTTTGCCTATAATAAGTTTCCACAGAGAAATCAGGATATGAACCTTATTTGATTTTATGTGAACAAATATTCTGTCATTAAATTAACCCTGACCACATGCTCAGATCTTTGATGGTAAACAAATTCAATTCAAATATGGGAAAAGAAATTATTTATTTGTTAGTTAAAATATTTAGAGTTTAAACTACTTCTCTAGAGTGTTTTACTGAGGAGTATTAAAATCACATTTTTTCTATGATTTATTTATTAATTTAACTTCATTAATTTGTCAGTTTACCCTTTCAATCCATCCTAAAGACTTTTATTGAGCATATATCATGTGCTTTCTCCTGAAGCCACAAAAATAAAATACCATATTTTCCCTATTGTAATAGGACAAATGGTCCAGCATGCTGGAGATAGAGTTGGAAAGGTAATTATGATGCAATATACTTAAGTTATGTGAAGGTGATAGGGTGTCCCAACTTGACAAATGTATTGTAGAATTAGAGTAAAAGAGAAAAAGGCTAAGAATTAGACAAGGCATTTTTAAAGAATGAAATCTGCTGCTTGCCTCACAAAGCAAGGCTCACTATGAATTTATGTTATGAAAGTATGCTATTGATACATAGAATAAAGTAGAATATAGAACAGCTCACATCTATACAAATGATAAATGAAACAGTGTCAATAAAGGAGAGGGGAATGAACATATGAAAGATGCCCAAACCAAAAAATCATCAGGGAAATGAAATCTAAAACCAAAGAGAGATATTTGATGTATTTTAAGATGTTAACAATTTTTTTAAACTGTGAAAACAAGAGCTCTCATTCATTGTTATGATGAGTATAAATTATTCAATTGTTTTTAAGACCAATTTGAGAATATCTGATATAGGTAGTTCTCCATGATTACACTATTGTGCAGATCCTTTAATCTTAAAACTAAAGATGTGTGTCTAAAGAAATGTGTACATGGATGATAGAGAAAATTGGAGACACCTTAAATATCCAGCAACAGAAGAAAGTATCCATTTTTTTGTGTGTGGAATATGCATACAGTGGAATCCTATGTGTAAGTGAATGACAACAATTAAATACATGGGAAAAGTGATAATGTAGGAAGAAATTTTCAATGGTGATGGATATATGTATAGCCTAGATCATAACTTGACAAATGGTTAAAAAAAAAAACCACAACAAAAAACAAAGCAAGTACCAAAAGCATACATTATACTTACACAAAATTAGAAGGATTGAGCATAACAGCCTCATAGCATGTTTAATGATGTATACATGTATGAATATGATGAAAAAAATTATTGACATACGTTTGTTGATAAACACAAAATGGATGGGAATGGTTACCTCTCATGAGGAGGGAGAAGCAGCAGGTGGGAGGAATCACCCAGCTTCTGTTTCACCTCATAGTCTCAATGGAGTGAATGCAGTGAACGAGTTGTGTATCTGAACTCTACCATAGCAAACTAAAAGTACGTTTCATTTTGAAAATAGCTGTCATTTGAAGCCAAATCTGATGAATAAGGTAGCCAAGAGTTTTTAGATATAAATGATTAAAAACTTTTTAGATATAAATGATTAAAAATGAGGTCAGATTATTTTTATTCAGTGTGCATGTTTCTTGCAAATTGGTCCTGAAGCATTTCCTCAAGAATGGTTTTTGCAAAATTTTGAGAAATGGCTACATCATTGTTATTTCTGTGTGGAGTTTCTATTAGGGCACTTCTTTGAAGGGAGCAAGACTCTTCTGTATGTATAAGATGTCCAGGTTCTAGTTTGTATGTTAAAAGCACAGCCTCCTTTCTTTATCCCAACATCTTTTAATAGAGATTTTGATTCCACGAGAGAAACTGGACAAATGTGGAAAATGCTTCCATGTCAGAGAAGAGCTCATCAAATTATCCAAAGATTTTTTTTCTGGGAAATATTGAGATATACAGCGATTTCTTTGAAGATACTTTTCTATGACATTTATGTTTGACTAAAAGCCTCACATAAGAACTATTTCATTTACCACTAGGCACTAGATGAGCCAGCCAAGACCGAAAGTCTCTCCAAGGACAACCCATTATACCCACCTCTGGAGGTAATGACTTCATATTACCCCTGCTTTTGAAATTCAATCCCAAAACTCATTGCTAACTCAGTACCTGGTTTCAATTCTTCCAGTTTTGTTTCCCTGCACAGCTCAGGCAGCAAACTGAAGAGCTCTGTGCTACCATTGATAAGGTCTTACAGGATTCCTTGTCTATGGTAATGCCTTAGACTAGAATGTGCAATTCAAACATTTGCTTGCTTGTCTTCATTGGCCTCTACTTGAGTACGATGCATCACAAGCTTGTCCTCTTTTATTTTCCAGCATTCTTCTGGCTCTCCTTCAAGCTCCCTACAGAAATTGTTGAGTTCGGACACTGTCAAAGTATGTATATGCTTAATATAATTTACTGAACCATGAGAATTTCTATATCAATGATTTTTAAGCTGCATGTCAAAGCCCAATAGTGAATTGGGAAATTAATTTAGTGGGTAGCAACCAGCACTTTTTTGGTCAGCAAATGGCATTTAAAAAATAGAATAGTAACAATGTAAAATGCCAGACTCTATTCTAAGCAGTATAGGTATTATTGAAATTTACATCAGTTTGTTTACATATACTACATGGGTATGTGTGTACAGGGTTGCTAAGTAAAATCTGTTTCTAACTGTGGGCCAAGTTCAAAACACTTTGAAGACCAATATATTATACTGTGTTATATGCTGGCATTTTCAGAAGCTCTGTGGAAGTAACTGCATGTAGAATTTGTTGCCTAATCTCATCCCCAACCATATCTTCAATACTTATGTAATTCACAGCCATTTAGAGTTGTAGAAGTGGAAAATGAAGTAGACTAAAGCATCATTAGTCTAAGAGCTTTAATACAGATTATTTCTGGAATATTTTTTCTTTTGGTTGACAGAATCTATTTCATTGTTCTTTGACTCAGAGGGATAGGAGCCTGGATATTTTAGATTGTTAGGACCCTACCAAAGCATTAATTGTTGCATTTACATAATTAAATATTTTCTTCTTATAATGTAGCCTTTTTCATTTGTTGGAATAAAATCCTACATTTTCTCAAGTTTTTGTTTGAATGCTTAATACAGACCTACTTATCCAAATTTTAAAATGATTGTGGTTTTTTCTTTATTGATAATTGTTAGTTTTGTTTCTCAGCCTAATGTTCTTTCTTGGAATTAGTATACCTTGTGCATGTTCTTTTTAAAAATTAGATACTATGTATAAGGTAGAAATGTAGAAATTGCTTATAATTAGAAGAGTAATCCCAATTATCAATTGGAACATTATTGACAAATATCCATTAATAATGACTCTGAAGCCTAGTAACCATTAATTGTCAGTATTAAAAAATTATATTTTTGCAGAGAGGACCTACAAATGAGTAATTGTAGTTTCTGTGTTCATTATCTATTTAGTTGTATATTCTTTGTCCTTTAATCTAAAAATATTAAACAGTTTGCTTTGCCAAAAACCACTATGTAAATCTTAAAATATATTTTTTCTTATTTTATTTGTTTAACATATAAAAATACCCTATATTATATTAACTGTAATGGGGATACGATTTAAATAATAACATATGAATAATCATCATTATTATTGATTTATTTAACAAATATTTAATGCTTATAGTATTTAAAAACATTATTCTAGGTCATGGTTATTAAGGCGATTATTTCATTCAACAAATATTTATTTAGTGACTACTATGGGCCTGGCACTGTGGGGCATTAGGGAGATAGATAATGGTGAACAAGGCAGAGTAACCTAGAGGGGCCATACTTTGAATGTAATAATCAGAAAGTAGAATTCAAGCTGAGACCAAAGATGGAAAAAAACCAACCAGAGAAAGATGAGAGAGAACAGCTTTCAGGCAGAGGAGTAGTCACATGCAAATTTCCTGAGTCAGGAGAGTGCTTAGTGTGTGTGAAGATGGTGACAGGTGTGTCTGCAGCATGGTGAGCTGGGGTGAACCATGGAGCATGAGATTGAGAAGTGGGCTAAGGACAGTGAAGATCAGTATATGCCATGGCATGAAGTTTGAGTTCCAAGGAAAACTGGAAAACATAAAAATATGGGGGAAATAATATGAAACCATTGAAAAAGATCACAATGGGTGCTACAAAGAGGCTCCTGAGGCCAGGGAGGCAGCCAATGAAGTTGGCCTGGGTAGGGTCGGTCCACAGCGAGAGGCGCATGTGGGTATGAGAGAGAGATTTCAGACTTGCTGCAGGTTTGGATGTGAGTGTGAAGGGGGGAAGAATCACCGGTGAGCTCCAGGTCTCTTCCTTGAGCAAAGCTGACAGTGAAGGAGGCACAGTGTGGTAGAGGAAAGAGAGTTGATGTTTGTTTTGGGCAGGATGACCTTGAGGTGTGTTTCGAGGAGGGCTTAAACCTATGTGTCTGGAGGGCAGTGGAAGAGATCTGGGGATGACCAGCACATGGATGTTGTGAGCTCCCTGTACAGAGCCCCAAGGCACAAAACATTGCAGATCCAATAAAGGAGGTGGAGTGGGCACCTACAGAGGAGAAAAAAAGTCCATTGTATAAAAATCAGAGCAGTATGGTATCATGGAAGCTACAGGAGAAGAGAATTGAATAGAATATAATTGCGGTGCTGCCAGGAGCAAGAGAAAGCTAAGCCTGGAGAAGTGTTTATTTTGGACTTTTATATTTGAATCATTACGCTTATATTTTTATTAATCTCTTCTTTATTTAGATCCTTATTTCTCACAAATTTGTAGCTTTATCATGGATTTACTTTTTTCCTTGGAATCTTGTTGAAAATTGTATTCAACAAAGTCTGATTGTTTTGATTCAATTGTATGGCCTCTGTCCCTGAAAATGTCTTTTTCTTTGCCCATTCATTTAAATTATAATTTCACTGGGCATAAAATTATAGATCCTCTCTCTTCAACATTTTTTTACCCCAGGTTCTTTTACTTCAACACCATTCTTTGACAGTATTTGTCAGCATGATATTTACTCCTCTGCTATACTCCCCATTTACAGAGTGGTACTGTAAGCTTTTAGTATTTTTACCTTTATCTATGATGTGGCTGAGTTTTCTTATAATGTGTCTAGGTGTGCATTTGATTCTCTTATGTATCTGGATTGGTACTCTCTTTGATCTTTCACTTAGAGCCTTTAAATTTTTCTTCCCTTTATATTCAGGATAATTTTGAGTGATTTTTTCAGATGTTTCTTTCCTGCTGGGACTCTTAAAATACCGCGGTTGTTACTTTTGCTTCTGTATTCCATATCTCTTAATCTTTATAAATTTTTTTCTATTTATTGCTTCCTGATTCCTTCAAGAGTGTTTCTTGATCTGATAGTCTGGCTCAAGTATTTGTTCAGTGTCTATTTTGATCTTTGATGCCCATGCAAAGTTCTTTCTTGTAGCTTACAAAGTTCTTTTATTTCAAGTTAGGCTTATTGAGGTATAATTACTCACTGTAAAATTTACCCTTTCAGTGTACAGTTCCATGACTTCTGACAAAGCATACAGCTATGTAACCACCCTCACATCGCAGATACAAAACACTTCCATCACATAAAAAAGTTCCTTCTGCTTCTTTGTGGTGTATCTCTCTCTCCAACTCAAGTACTGGGCAACCACTGATCTTTTCTCTGTCTCTATACATTTGCCTTTTCAAATGTCATATAAATAGAATTATAAAGTATGAAGTCTCTTGAGTCTGACTTTTTATACCTAGTAGAAGGCAACTGAGTTGATTCACTCATATTTTTGCATGTATCAGTGGTTCATTTCTTGTTATTGCTGAGTAGCATGCCATTGTATAGTTGTACCATACATTTACTATTCACCAGTTGATGGACAATTGAATTATAGGTTCTTTTTTTTCACCATCCCTAAATTTTACTCCCTTACACTACCTCTTGCTTCCCTTATCTCTGTGATGAGAAGCAATATGAATGAGAAAGCAGAGACAGACTATGTAAAACAAACAAACAAATGCAGCTGCTTTGGAATGTTGGGCTGTGAAGGGGAGAGGGGAGTTGGGTCAATAGTGGGGTGGACTACAATTTTTCATTTGCTTAAGGCTAGAAACTTGGGTGTTAAGTTTTTGTCTCTCTTTCTCTCACATTTAATTTCTTTTGTATTAGAGATGCTGTTGCTGTATATTCAAAATATATGTAGAATATGCTTATTTCATAAGTTATATGCCCCTGAGCCATCCTCATGTTTAGCTGGATAGTACATAGCCTTTCTTCTATACCCTTGCTTCACTATAATTTATTCTAAACACATAAAACAGAGGGATTCTTTTAATGAATAAGTCAGATTATGACCCTCCTGTGCTTAAAACCAGCAGTGCCTACAAAGTTCCCTCAGAATATAAGCCAAAGTCCTTATAAGACCCCAGGAGGGCTTCTGAGACCTGGCTCTCTAACACGTCCATGATCTGTTCTCCAACTTCCCCCTTTGCCCACTTCTCTCCAGTCCTGCTCGCTACCTTGCTGGGTCTTGGATGTCCCATGCTCCTGCTTTAGCAGTTAGTTCTTTCTCAATCAACCCTGTCAGTTTTTATAGTTTCTAGTTTCCTGTAAAATTTTGCAAGCTTTACTTTCACCTCAAACAGTATGGTTAAATATGGTGTTTTTTCAGTCTTGTTCTAAGAAAACAAATTCCTGGATTCTTTGTGGGTCTTTTCTGTTTCCTGTGGCTGCTCATTGTCACATTGTCTTACCTCTTTGTTTCTCTGAATCAAATTGTGTGTTGGATAGTCTACTTGAAAATTTATCTCTAGAAGTTATGTGAGGCCTCAGGTGGTATTATCTTCCTATAGAGAGTCTTTGCTTCTGTCAGACACCAGGAGCTCTAGCAAAAAAGGATTACCTTAATTTAAGGTAAGGTTTTGAGGTGATTTTTTTTCTAAACAATCATTTTTAAATGCTTTGAGGCCATGCTGAAACCCATGTGAGATCTGGATAACCTATTCTTGCCAGTGGAGACTCTGACTTTGATCTTGCTACACCTCTGAGAATGTCAAAAGTTTGGATCAGCTTTTCAAGCAACTCAACAGTATTTGCAAACACGCCTGAGGCAAAAGCAGATCTCAAATGCCTGTCTCCTCTCTTCAGGTTCCCTTTTTCTCCTGATCTTACCCCCAAATTCTTTACTCTCATTAGCTCACTGATGTTTTTAATAAAATATTTTCCAATATTTCGTTTGACTTTGTTATTATCTATTATGGCCAGATTACTCTGAGTTCCTTAGCCACCATTCTCAAAGGTGGAAATTCATATAAGAACTTGGCACTTGTTCCTTCTTAGTGGAATGCTTTTTATCTAGATACCCACATAGCCAACTTTCTCACCTCCTTCAAATCTTTGCTCAAATGTCACCTTCTCTAGATTGGCCATCCTATTTAAAATTGTAAGCCCTCAGCACTCTTGACTTTCTTAACATTTGGGTGATCATATATGTATGTGTGTGTGTGTTTGGCAGAAGCAAAGATTTCCTTTGAAAGAATGTGCTACCCTAGGCTTCAAATTATTTCTACTCTTCTTTTTTGTTGAGTTTATTACCTTCTAACATATGATGTAATTTACTTCTTTATTATTTTATTGTTTATTTTCTCTCCTGCTGAAGTGTAAACTCCCAAGGGCAGGACATCTTTGTCTCTTGTGTTCACTGATAAGTCTGTAGTGTGTAGAACAGTTCCTGGCATCCAATAAATACATAATAATAGTTGTTGAATAGATAAATAGCCAACTGATCTCAGAAAGTGGGAAAATAAGCCTATAAGAGAGAAAATGGGGGCTTATCAGGGAATATTGAATGCCCATTTGAAGTTATCACTAATTTATAATGAAGTCAATTAGCTGATTGAGAGAATTTCCAGTAATATTTTGTTTCTCGGGTACAAGTTTAGAAAAAATGAATAATAAGGTCCATCCAGGTTTTGTGTTTGGGGGGGGTGGGGGGTGGGGGAATTCACAAGGAGAGAGCAAGGTAAGAGAAAGAAGGCATAAAGTGACTGACAATGGGCAATATATGTAAGCTAAGAGGTAATGAAGCGCTATGGAGCTGGTCATGGTCGATGATTTTGAAGCCTCAGTGAGGCTGAAGAAATGTTGCATTAGGGATATTTGAGAAATGAAGATGGTGGCTGGGGGTGGATTCTGAGATAGGATGTTAGAAATTGAAATTGTAGTGGTTTCCCATTTTATTTGTGAAGGCCAAGTATAGGAATGGTCCTGGAAATGAATGATTGAAATGGCATGGATGAGAATGCCTTTGGAGTTGAACAGCTTAAAGAACTGAGAGTAACAGGTTTCTATGTGAAATTTTTTTTTAAATATATCTTTATTGATTTCAGAGAGAGGAAAGGAGAGGGAGAGAGAAAGAGAGAGAGAGAGAGAGAAACATCAATGATGAGAGTCATTTATCACTGCCTAGCCCGCAACCCGGGCATGTGCCCTGACCGGGAATCGAACCCCGATCGCCTGGATCCTAGGTCAACGTTCAACCGCTGAGCCACGCCCAGCCGGGCTCTGTGTGAATTTTGAGGTAGCTAAAAATTATGTAAAGACCTGTTATGATTCATGAATAAATATCATTAATAAATAAGGGAAAATTTACCAGAAAGCCGATAGCTCACATCAATGAAAAGAATAATAAAATGATTTAGTTTAATGAAATGATTTTCAAAGGAACGGAGGATTTTGTATAGAAAAGAGGGAGTAATGATTGGAAAGTTTTAATAAGAAAAAAAATAAGTGAACACTTATCTTAGAAGTTAAATCTTTTAGTGTTTTATTGCTTACTTCAATATTATAATTTTATATATTTTTAATACAGACGCCTACAACTGTTCCGAGATCAGCTGGTCGAGAAACCAAATATGTAAGTCCCTTCATAATTATACATATTGCTTTTTTTTAAGGGGTGAATATGTAAGCTTTGGAGGCAAGTCAATTATACAGTCATTTATATTGAGTTAATTTTTTTCATAAGTGGAAAAGGGTAGGACGGTAAAATCGACCCAGATGTGGAAAATCAGGTTATGTCAGGTAAGTTTATTGAACAAATTCCTTCTTAAGTGAGGCCTCGTTTGATTAATTTTGCTAAGTAAAGCAGAACTTCAACACCTGCTTTCTGTTTTTCTAATTATCAAAGCTTAGAAGGCATTCTGTTATGGTTTATCGTAGTTATTATACAATAGTCAAGTCATATACTTGAAACATCAATTTGTCCATTTCCAGTAGGATTGTCAGGTCATTTGCTTTTGACTAGTTTGTTGCTTTTTTGTATTTAAATTATTATCAAATAAGCCAATTTACACTTATGAGCAAAACCAGATTAATAATGAATGTGTAGATACAGGTTCATATGCTTGATTCAATTAATTATGGGGGGCTGGTTCTGAATGTCTTAGACACACACACGTGGCCTCATCCCATCCCTACTCTTTATTCACCTAATATTCTATCATGTGACCAACTTCTGCTTCTGACCAAACATATTATAGTAGAAATAAGATTGTCTCCTAAACAAATGTTTAGTTTTTAGTTTAATACAAATTATTAAACATTTATTTTATTATACATTATATTTTCTAATATATCATTTTCATCATCATCATCATGAGTAGTTATTAAATCTATATTTTGTAACCTATCTTTTTGCAACTGACAAATTTCTGCCTTCATTTGAATCTCTGTAAGGCAAATAATAAATGGGGTAAAATTACTGAATTTTATCACATTCGGGAAATGATGTTTAGAGGACATGGGTAGGAACACTGCTTAGAGCATTTTCTAGAAGTCTGCACTGTTATTTTCTGTTATTATTGGAAGCAGTTTGGAGTAATGCTTAAAAGACTGGAGGCATTTAGTAGGCTCTACTCAACTTCACATCACAGCGTTGCTGCTCGGTAACTGTTCAATCCCAGAAAATCACCTAACCTCTCTGTGCCTTAGTTTTTTCATAAATAATATTGGAATACTAATAACCTTATTTGGTTGATGTAAGGTTTAAGTCAGTTAATGTATGAAAAACCCTTAATGTAGCTCGGACACACAGGAATCACTCAATAAATAATAGTTCTTTTTCTTCCTCTTTTCCCTCCTTGCTTTCCCTTCATCCCTGCCTTCTCCCTTCTCTTCCTCTACCTACCTTGGAAAGACTAGAAGCTCCATGATTTAGCTGAGCTCCTTCATTCTTCATTTGGGTACAAGAAATGAAAGTATTCTAAAGATAATTCTATACTTTGTGTGACTAATATATTCTACAAGAGCCAGACCTGGGAAAATGGAGCTCGAATTTGTTTGCTCTCTCACCTTTCTCATCCACTCCTACTTTTTATCAGAGTGCCTCTGAATTAGGTTCATTTACAGTGAGGAGCAGAGGGCTGCTGCCTCCTCCCACCCCTCCCTGAGGGGGGTTATTTCCATAGCAGTTGGGATCACTCTGGAGGGGTTGCTTCAATCCCCATAGTTAGTTGTTATTTCAAATTATTCTTTAATTAGTTATCAGACTTAAAGTCAATTAACATTTCCCCCAAACTTTCTGAGAGCATTTGAGTCATCTGAAGTTTACCCTGAATCATCAAACAGATTTAGTATAAACCAGAAAAAAAGACAAATTCTAATTCAGATAAGATTTTTGACTTTGATTAAATTTGTTTTTTTGAGTAAGAAGCTTTGCTTTGGACTTTCTCTTACAATATATTTGTTTTTTTCTTAACTCTAATTGGAATAGGTCCAATTAACTGGAAAATCTTAAATGCAGTGAGGTTCTCCAAATTAAAAAAAAAAATTCTTTATTGTTGAGAGTATTCCAGATGTTCCTCCTTTCCCTCCCATTGATCCCATCCACTTCACATCCATCCTCCCCTCAGGCCTTCCCCATACCAATGTCTGTGTCCATGGGTTAGCTTATAAACATATAAGTTCTTTGATTAATCTCTCCCCACCCATCCTCCATCCCCACCTTTCCTGTGAGATCCCTCAGTCTGTTTCATGCTTCTGTGTCTCTGGATCTAGTACGATAAAACATTTGAACTGTTGTTTGTGACACCTCAAATATGTTCATGTCTTCTGAAAGACTATAAGGGATACTCGTTTGGTGGGAGGTAAAAACAAGTTCTTTAGTGACAACTCATTGACTTTGCACTTGTAAATATTTGGCTGCAATTATTACATTTACTAAGTGATGTCTGATATATATGTGAATCTGAGAAGCCTATGGATTTTAACATTTCAGTATTTGCCATCTCTCTTCACAACTTTGAAGAAAGTAGGCATCTTTCTTATATGCCTGCTGGGGCTGGATATGTTATTGACATTGTAGAGATTCTTAGATTAGACTCAAAGCAGGGGTCACACAATTTACTAACTCCTGCACCACAGAGGAAAAAAGGGAAGACTTACATTAGATACAAAAAAAAGTTTTGTTATAATTGAGGACATCCTTAACTGATTAGCACAGACCATTCAAAATCCTTATTCTGGGTGCTTTTTAAAGGTATAATATATAATCTTTGAATCATGACTAGCAGAACCTCTAGTCAGTGTTTTCCAGCACCAATACTAATTTTTCCAATTTTTTTCGTTAATTTGACAAGTATTTATTGTGTGTCTGCCATGTCCCACTACTGGCTGAGGAGTAACAGGGATGAGAGACAGGAATGCAATAACAAGGGCCCCGTTTCTGAAGCATACAATGGGGAAGACAGTAAACAATGAAAATAGTCAATGAGCAAGATACTTTCTTATAGAAATTAGAGGAGAGCTGCCCAGAAAATTGGTCGATATTAAAACAAACATAAAGTTGCTAGTTTTCAGTGTATCATTGTGTCCATTGGCTTTCCAAATTTCCTGGGATGATTATAAATGGTTTAATTAAATAGTGAGAAATTGTATGATTAACATATTGTTACATGTCCCACAGTGTTTTATAGGATGATCCAGAAGCAGTAAAAGTACCATCAAGTCAGAATAATTAAAGTCAAGGTTTTCTCCAATTCACGATGCACTTGAATTGAAGTTTATTTTAAAGCACAATTGACCCTTGAACAACATGGGTTTGAATTGCTCAGATCTACGTATAGTTCAATAAATAATATAAGTGTATTTTCTCTTTCTTATTTTTCTCTGGTTTACTTTATTGTAAGAATGCAGAATATATTACATATGACATATGAAATATGTGTTAATCGACTAAGTTATCTATAAGGCTTCCAGTCAACAGACTATTAGTAATTAAGTTTGGGATGAGTCAAAAATTTTATGTGGGTTTTTGACTGTGTAGGAGGTCAGCACCCTAATTCCTGTATTGTTCAAAGGTCAACTGTGATTTCATTTAGGTTCTCTTATGTGTAATAGAATATAAACCAGGCTAATGACTTTTGAGTGGTCACCACAGGTCACTTGTGGGATTGATTATATTAATTTATCATCAGTATTTTACTGAATTGTTTTTAACAGATGCCAAATTCAACAATAATAATGTTTTAAATCTTACCTTTCAAATGAAGTTTAACTATCTAATTTAACCTTACATCAATCCTATGAGGTGGGTATTGTTATTACAAAATCTCCATTTTGCAGAGGAAGTACTCAAGTGTCAGATATCACAGTAGGCAAAACCAGCACAGGTCTTCTGCATGTCAAAGCTCTTGACATTAATACCTGTGTAAACCTACAGGAGCTGGGAATAGTGTGTCTTTCTTGAATATTTTATCCATAAGGATTTATTTTCTGGGTCTAACTAATTTCTTTATGCCCAATAACCTTCAGTCAAACTTTGAATAAATAATTTTGTATTTGGTGACATTTGATGATAACTTTTTACTACATTTCTAGTGTTTTAAATTATTTGCTTATATGTAAAGTAACTCATAATTTATCAGATGATTTATGAGTGATTATTTCTGATGACACTCATTTTTAAAGAGTTTCTCTCTATGTAAGGGAATGCATTTTCTATTTAAATTTCTATTTCATTCTGTTTTAACTCTATCATCTTTGGAAGTGAATGTCATTTTTTCTTTTACATTACACTTATCTTTGTACACTTGTTATTTTTCATTAACCACTACCAGTTTAAATTCATTTCATTCATGTAATTCAAAACCATATTATACTCTTAATAAAGAGATACCTCAGGAAACAGGGCAAGTATTTGGACCTATTACTCATTTATCAAAAAACCCTTAGTTGAAAGCACATTCCATTGATTACAGCTTATATTATAAACTGTCTGTACTTCACAAGTTATTTTTAAATGCCAGAGAAATAACAGGGACAGGCTTATTGAATATTATATAGTGTACAGGTAAGATCTCATTTTAATAAGCTTAAGGAACAGAAAATGTCATTACAATTGCATACATATTGCTTTCAAAATATCACAATATATTAAAAAGTGTCAAATTTTATTAAAAATACTCCCCACTATCTATACAGATATTCATATAAAGGTCATTGTCTCCAATTTAACCAGCTCACAAACTCTTGCTACTATGCTTGGAAATGTTGCTAGGCTGGAGTGTTTCAGGGGTGATGAGCACTAATGTCATGGATCTCAGGCTAAGAAGTGATTTAAATCCAGTCCACTTAAATCCAGACTTGAGTTCAAATCTGCTTCCATAGGATATGACCAGAGCTTTGATGAGTTACAGGAATAGTTGTAAACAATTTAAGCAAGATTTCACTCTACTGATCAGTCTTTTTTTTTTAATGTTTAGAAATATTTCTATGGTATGCTCACGTGAAAGGGGTTCAGGAGGAAATGGAAGATAATTATCTGGGTTCTGCTAGATGCGGAGGAAAAGAAAGGATTTAATGAGACAAGCTTTATGCCTTGTAGCCTTCTAATCATCATTTCAGTCTTCATCAAGC